CAGGATTGATGTCAGCCTTGTGAAGTAGTCCAGAAGCATACCCAGATGAACTAATTCTACTGTATTGGGCTTTTTAAAGATAATTTTTATTAAAGTCATTTTTAACAAGATAAAAACAATGCAACTTTTAGAGAAGAAATAAAGGAAATAAAGAAAAATAATGAATAGAGAAGAAAAGAAGAGAAAGAAAGGAGATGAAAAGAGAAAGAGAAGAAAAGATGATAAAAAAGCAGTTTCTGATCTTCCTAACAGCAGTTATAAATGCATTTATATTTTAGCCTCTCTCTCTGAGATTACATCATAATTTCCTTCTTTCCATAGTCTACCCTTTTTAAGTGTCCCACCCATAAATCACAAGTTCATTTTTTTTCTTTCTTCAGCAAAAGGTCCATAAGGGGTTTCCAGTCACTAATAAATGAGGTTATTTTACTGTAAGGTCACATTAACAAAATCTTGCAAGTCTGAAAGTACATTTCTCTCCTGTTGCCTTTACAGTCCAAGAAACTAGGGAGGGTCCCTTCTGAGATGCTTGCCATGCCCACATTCCTCTGCGGGCTAGGCTGCCTCTTATCTGACTATTGCCTCGGTTGTGGCTCTTCCCCCTGTCTCTCAAGGTCATTTCCACACAGAGGGAGAGAGAGATCCAAAGTCACGCAGGGAACTTCTGTGGCTAAGGGTGGACTTGAATTTGGGTCTCCCCTGTGCCAGTCTCACACATTTATTACTACACCACACTGGCCCCTGAATTTGTGCTTCCCTACTCTCTTCTCCTAGGCAAACACTTAACTGCTATACTGCGTAAGCATCAGCACAAAGATCTGAACATTGAAAATGGTGGAAGTGGCAAACTGCAAGGACCTCTCCAGCATTCATTTTGCAGATCCCAGAGCAGCTCCTGAATGTGTGTTTCCTTTGGCAGGCTTGAGAAGTTGTCATTTGTTCATTCATTCATTCATTTATCTCCTTATATGGCTCATACACTGCTCTGAGTGGCTTACGGGCCTTCTTACAGTAAGGTTACCACAGTGGAGAATGTATGTAGCTCAGGGTTCCTGGAGTTCTCCTGCAGATGTTTCATTATCAGGCTAGGCAACATCATCAGTGCTTGGGGAGTAGAGATTGTCAGCTCTTTACATGAATGGGATATTGTTTCTTCTTTGATGGCTCCTGTTTATCTGGGTGTTAGCTAATAGGTGTATGATAATGGCTGGGTGTTATGCTAACGGCTGATTCATCATAATACATAGTTAACAGACACACTGAGATACTCTGTCTACAAACCATTCAAGAAAGGAAGCAACCTCAGGTCAAAGAAAGACCTAATACCCCACTTCAAAAGCAATCAAGGAAGAAGCAATGCCCCCAGTCATGGCTGGTAGGACAAGTTACAGTAAGGTTAACAACAAATGATGTGATTAAATCACAACCACAGAAACCCTGACACCCAAGGAACATCAAAAACAAACAAACAAAAAAGAGCCCATAACTAAACGAGTGTGATGGAATGGACTTATGAAGGCCAGGCTCAGGGAGATAAGCGTGTTCTTAGCCCCCAATAGGAGCGTGGGAAGTTCAAGAAGATGAGGCTGGCACCTCCTACGA